GTTGTGAAGTTACGATGTAACACACTAATTTAGCGCTTTTTTCCGTTTCAAAATACATCGATATCTCAAAAATCGCGATTTGTGGGGGGATCAAAATATCGCTATTTTGACCCTAAAAACCGGTCTGCTTTCACTGAAAAATGATATAGGAGCATTAATATAGGCCATATAGGTAACAATGTTCGTAATACTATAACCCTCCGGGTTTGTTTAATATCCGAATTAAGGTGCTTAACTCGGATATTCGCAGTTCGGTGAAGGGTCACTACAGTGCAGCACTGTCGAGCCCCACAGATTACTATCTTAATTTTTGTACCAAAAGGGATACAAAAACTTGTTAACGATACCCAACAATCAATTGTTGTTATCGTTGAGCCCTTTCTTGTTGCTCCTTTTACTGCTTGCCGGATCAGTCTTCTCCCAAGACCCCTCCGGATTGAGCGCAAATCAGCAGACCCTTCCGGATTGAGCGCAATTTATCATTAACGTGCTTAAATGCTCAAATAACCCTACAGTACAAGCCTCACAAACGGGCCACAAAATTGATCGTAATGATCCTGACTGATATATGATATAAATGCCTGTAAGAACAATATATTTATCAACAACAAACGGGGGTGGTGGGATCACATCTTGTCTGGGGGGATGATTTCTCTTGATTTTCTTACTTTTTTACTGTTTTTGGTTTTTTCGGTTATTTTTTATGTTTTTGTTTTTCTTGGGTACTATACTACTTTTTGTTTGTTTTTATGTTTATCTTTAAGTGTTTTTGGTCACGGACCACTCAGGAGATGACGGGACCGCGAATCCCCCACCCTTCCTGGTTCGTGAATTTTCGGTCTTAACTAGGTTAAAAAGCTATTCACGGTAATCCGGAAGGCTTCCGCGTTCTGAACTACCCTTCCACCCCGGCGGTTTTGGCCTATTAAGGGCGTTAATAAGGCCACTGATTTTAGCTGCTCATTTGTATGATCATTATGAATTAAAATAACTTGTACACCGCAACGGTGTCGTAAATCAGTTATATCAGATATGAAATTTATATCTCCAGTTATCAGAATAGCAGCAGCGTTTTTATGAGCAAACAGCTCCCCAAACCTCCGAATTTTTTGACGCAGTTTTTCATCGGCTGCATTTTTGGCTCCCGATGGAACATGAGCTAATGTAACTTGTGCGTTGTTCAGCTCCTCGCAGGTTCGGTCAGCCAACGAATCGACAGCGCATACACAAATGAACTCATCGCAGATGTAGTTTTGACAGAATTTATCCCGAATCCAGTTGATATAGCTCATTTCGCTTTTCAAAGGCGGTACACGACAATTCTCGATGTCCCAAAACAAACCAATAGAAGGCTTAGGCCCACGTTTGTGGCTAGATGGATTATCCTTTTTAGCAGACTTAACATTTTCTGGAGGTGACACAACAGAGCTTAATACGGATTCAGGGCTTCGCAGTTCACTACCTGATGAAAACGAATCGTTCGCAATTTCTGGAAAAGATACATTCTGTGGTGGTATGTCCAAATTTATCGCCGATGTTTTTAATCCTGCATTGCGTTTTTGCGAAATTTTGCGCATCAGAGTTTCGGCTCTAGAAGATTTTTGACTCGATTTAGCCAATGAAACTTGTCCAGGGCCATTGTCATTGGCATTTGAGGACAAGTTCTGAGAACTGTCTGTTTTCAACGGCGTAGCCTTTGGCGTTTGGTAAGTGTCAAGCTTTAAGGATGCAGAAGATGAGCTCTTGGAGTCTGGAGTTGACTCAAAAAAATCGCTCGGTTTAAACAAGAACGGAGACTCAGATCTGTCAACCATTATTCAAATCTGAAGCAAATCAAAAGCTGTAACATTCCCCCGGAAGATACATATCGACGGAAAATAAAGCTAGGTTCTAAGACGACCGGCTAACGTCTAAACAGAGCTCTACATGCTTTTCACCGTCTCTACCAAGCCAGTTCTTTTGGTGGTCTTTCTAACATCGGGTCGACAAAAACGTTACTGCTTTCGGCTTCGGTCAAAACACTCAAATTAACTAGATTACATGCAGAAATAGTGAGCTCATTGCTGGGTCTCAGTATCCCCAGACCACGAGGTCACTCCTAAAATCAGGGCTACTACTATTTATTGAATTATCATTGTTTTTGTTCAGTAGATAAAAATCATCATCTCCATCGAAGATGGATCAACCCTTTCCCCCAACTCCTAGCTTCTCATCCTAGCAAAATGAATTCAGATGTTAATTAAATTCAATTCAGGACATAATAGGGAAGCTAAAAGTTTGTATAAAATGATATAAGTTCCAGTACCGAGACCCCTCCGGATTCTTGAATCCGGGGAAATAAGACCCTTATCTTCCTTCCGGAAGGCTGTCTTCCACCCTTCACCGTTGTTCGCAACGGCCTTGCAACTATTGTAGCGACACAATAGTTGCAACTCGGAACGGTCTCTGCTAACTCTGCAATTTGATGTTTTTTTCCAATCACAATTATCGTCGTTATCGCTATCGCAACTAATGTTGTTGTGTTTATTTCAGTTTCTTCTCCAAAATGGCCGTTTTTGACATTTCTTAGAATTGTTACGTCATCAATTCGAATTTTTAAAATTTAGGAATTTCCGAATCCTTCAGCCTTCACGATTTGTCCCATCGTTCGAATAACGCTCTTATTCCCTCAAAACCGCCAATTCGGAAGGTTCGCTGCTAAAAACTCGAAATTGCTGCGTCTGCATTTTTGTCCATTCTGGTCGAATGTCACAAGCGACGTCTTCTCTAAACGTCTCCGTAAAACAGTCAATAATTCTAAGTCTCTACAATTAGACCGCATACATATAATCAAAAGGTCAAAAGTATCATAGTAACCGACGTTACAGTCAGGAGTTCCTCATTCAGAAAAATTTCAAGTGCTAGGGCCAGCGGCACCCTGAACTTCAAAAGCTTGAAAAATATGTTGAAAAATATATCCATCATTAATTAAATCTCTACATTTCTCAGATTTTCGATCTTCCGCCTCGGCCGTTCCGGGGTTACAAACCGAACCTGCGCTTATTCTACTAGGCGCTAGTGAGTCAACTACCGTTACATCCCACAGGAGTTGCCTACCAACAGCTCATGGGACGAGCGTCAAACCGTCTGGTCGCTTCTGATCTGTCCTGTGGAAAAGTCGTGGCTCTAAAACAAAAGGAATAGGAGTGGAAGCGAGTTTGCTTTATAAGAGCATTCAAGTCTGAATGCCTAGAGAATGTCCCTACACTTTTGAAACAAGATAGGCCATGCCATCCATCTTCGGTTACATCTTTTCCGCAAAAGCACCTGTTTCTCATAAATTTTAGAACCTAAGCGGACTCCAATTGCAATGCAATTCAAAGCTGCTGATTCGACTATTTCAATCTTAGAATTTTACACGGTATGATATTCAACCATTGCGATCTGAACTTATACTGGGAAGCATTGAACCTTTTTACATCAATGGGTTTTAGTTTCAAAATCATAAAATTGATAGAATTTATCAAAAATGGGCTCCAGCCAATTTTTTTCGATTTTGTTTTCCGGAGACACTTCACATTTTGCTGAATCAAACCAAAGTTGTAATTCATCGTTATATGTACCATCCTCGTGCTCCGTACCAAAAATCTTACTTAAGGTAGCTTTCGCTCCTACTGTTGAAGCTAAAAACCGGGCAAAGCTATTAGGCGAGCAGACACGCCCAAGCCACCTTTGGCTGCCGGAAGAACTTCTGGCAAAAATTGGTTATCATTAATTTTTACATTTTTTGCCTTGCATAAAGATAACAAATTACCCCAATGAAGATATCTGACGATGTTTGCAGTAACGTGGTGTATCAGTTCACTTGTTTCAAAAGCCAGTCCAGCTTTATAAGTCAATTTTTATCTTATTAAATCAATAATTATGGGTCAAAACTATCTAAGTAATCGAGGTTATAGTCAGGAGTCCCTTCATCACATATTCCATTCAAAAGCCTTGCAAGTTTCTAGATATAGAACAAGAAAAAGAATAGTCAATGCAATAGTATAGTAACAGAATTGAAATAACTTTAGTTACAAAATTCGATTTTATACTCAAGTTTGATTAAATGAGATGAAAAACTTACATCAATGAAATGATCAATTCAGGAATGAAAATGTGAAGTAAAAATGTGAGAAAAAATTTTAAAATATTGACAAAACTGAACATATATATGCAAATCAACTAATTAATGAAAACGGACTTCACACCATGTGTTCGTGCACATACACATAGGATTAGATTTCATTTCAGTTGTGTAGGACTCTTAGTTTTTTCTTGAACGTTGATGTGGTAATACCAAAACTTCGTAATTTACCGGGCATCGACTTCCAATTTTCTGACGTCAGATAAAAAGCTTTTTTGTAGAGAAGCACTTCAACAGTGGTTATCAAAAATTATTTTGCTATGTTCGTTGATTTATTCTAAAACTCGCTTCGGAAGTGTACCGAAACCAAAGTGTCCTTAACAGTAAATTGTAAAATCAAAAACTGATCTATTTTGGCAAAAATCTTTACTAATTCATGAAGTCTCAGAACTGTTAACTCATTAAATAAGTTTGACATTCATGCTAAAGCCTTGACAGGCGGGAGAAAACTTCACTTTATTAGTGTCACATCATCATCATCTTCTTCATCATAACCGGTTTTGGTAATTAAGGTGCTGCGGTAGCCCAGTCACTAGGGTTGGCATGCTTCCCTGTCCGCGGATCGTTGCCAGAGAGGTTGCAGACACTAACATCATTACTCACACACTCTGACCACGTCTTACTGGGTCTTTCTCTACATCTGCGGTAAATAATTTCCATGCTGGTGATGAGTTGATGCATGACGAGGCACCTTGCACGTGTCCGAACCACCTGAGAAATCGTGTTGTAGGACAGACGTGATCTCAAAGACCCCCCGATTCTGGTGAAGTGCAGCCGTGGAAAGGTCATCATCCAGTTTAGTGCCACAGATCCAGCGAATCATTGCACGCTCATTTTAGCGGGGACGCTGCAAGTCCGAGGTATTTGGTGCCCATGTCTCACTACCATGGAGCGTGGTCGAACGGACGCAGGCAGTGAACATCTTGCCACGGATATTTGGTGACAAGAGTCTATTTGTCAGGATGGGTATAAGTCTCCTGAATTTGCCCCAAGCTGCGCAGCATCTGACAGTGATGGCACGTTCACAACCTCCTCCCGCACACATTATATCTCCCAGGTAACACAAGCTGGCCTCGACATCCAGCAAGGTTCCGTCCACTTCCAGTTGGGTTTCAGGCCTTCCATCGATTGGACGAGCCTCACCACGACATCTTGGACTGACAAGTTTCGAATCTGCAGACAGTATCCCAGCAATGCCACAACACTTCTTGTGTACCCAGAGTTTACATTGGGATCACCTAATTGAGTTTGAGCGTACTCCTCTGCGACACACTGCGCAGGGGCACTTGCCGGAGTCCTGCAACTGGTCAAGGCCAAGACCGGAGACTAGAATCTTAGTCTTCTTCATGTTTACTCGCACACTTTTCTCCTCCATGTTTGCCTTCCAGGCCTTCAGCTTGGTGATGCACTCCTCCATGGAATCAGCGATAATTACAGGGTCATCAGCGTACAGAATCTCTCAAGCCACGTCAATGCGGAACTCGCGTGACAGGGCCTCCAGTACCATGATGAAGAGCAGCGGGCTGAGTAATGAACTATGATGCACGCCCACTCCGACTTCAAACTCCTTACTGTACTGTCCGTTGACCCGCACGCGGCTCCTGACATTGGTGTACATGCCCTGGATGACACGTATTGCCCACTCCTCGACACCAAGACTTCTCATAGACAACCAGAGAACTTTTCTTGGCACTCGATCGAAAGTTTCATCCAGGTCGACAAAGGCGAAATAGAGAAGCTTCTTCGCTGCGATGTTCTTCTCTTGCAATTGGCGGACAATAAAGATGGCATCAGATGTCCCCTGCCCGACACGCAACCAAACTGCATTTCATTAAAGTCCACCATGTTGCGGATTAGAGGGTCCAACACATGTTCCAGCAGTTTCATGACCTGGTCTGTAAGCTTAAGGCCACGATAGTTGCCGCGATCTAGCGCTTCAACTTTACGTTTGACGAGGTTCAGGATGAAGCTCTTCTCTCAGTGTTTAGGGATCTCACCGCTGCCGAAGACTGCCTCAGCCAGTTGCGTGGCTACCAGATGCTTTTATCGTCTAAGCTAAGGTACCAGATACGCCAGCGGACCTATCTTCATTTTCTGAGAGCTTTACGGATCAGTACAGCAGACACATTTGAAGGGGGACCTGCAACAGGCGGTACTTCAGGGAGCAGGTCGCATGGCCACTCGAACTCGACGTTTAGGAGTCTCGCGTAGAGCTCCACCCACGCTTTCATCTTCTCCTCATCACTGAGCGAGAGCTCACCTGCATCACTACGAACACACTTCTCACCCACAACGTCCTGATTTGTACGGTCCATCTGCTTGGCAATCCGGTAGACACTGCTGCCATCAGGGGGAATGCTGGCGAATTCGGCTTTTTCTGCCTCAGACTTGGCCAGCCAGATGACGTGTTTGGCCACACGTTTAGTCTCATTGTAAGCAGTTCTAGCTTTCTTCGCCTCAGCCGTCTTGCCTAATTTCTTAAAGTTTTTGTATGTTTTAAAGCATGCCCGTTTCTCTCTCACCGCCTCTTCCACACTTCCGTTCCACCACCAAGTTTCTGACTTCCACTGGTGTTGTTTGGAGAGGCCGCATACTTCAGTGGCCGCCTCAAGGAGTGGGTCCTTTATCTTGGTCCATGCCTCCTTCACCGAGTTTGGAGGTCCTTCATTGGTAGCAACAATAGCCTGAAGACGGCATGGAAATGGCTCGCAACAGCAGGATCCTTGAGCTTCCAGGAGCGGATACGGGGAGTAAACTTGCGCTTCTTCACAGCGGGGATGTGGACTGAGAAATCACACACCATCAGATGGTGCTGTTTAACGCATTCCTCATTCGGTATGACCTTGACATTACTTACTGCATTGCTGAAGTTCTGTAGTCAATCTGGGTTCTGTAGTCACCAGAGCTGTATGTGACGAGGTGAGAAGCCCTCTTCTCAAACCAGGTGTTGCCTACACGCAGGTGGTTAGTCAAGGCAAACTCCAGGATCCTCACACCCTCAGCATTTCGGGCGCCGAAACCCTGCCCACTGTGGACTTCATCGAAGCCATCAGCGTCAGCACCAACATGACCGTTCCAGTCTTCCAGCGATACAAGTGCAACTGATCTGCAACTGATCGTAGAATCGCTCCTTTTCAACTTCAGGCAGTCCAACTTGAGGGGGATAGACGGCAAGAAAGGTGAACACCGCCCTGCCATTGACAAGCTTCAGTTGGAGAAATCTGTCGGAGATACGCTGGACTTCGACACCTTGTCCACCCAATGCTCAGCCATAAGTATCCCAATTCCACCCAGTCCAGAGCTGTTCACACGCCAGAAGAACTTATATCTGGAATACTTACCCTTAAGAATACGAGCCTGGTTTCTTTTCCGGGTGCTCGCTTGATTTGCCGCGATGGTCGGACCCTGCCTCCCGCACCCGGGAGTCAGCCAAGCCCGAGACGCTACCAGCAGTCTGTTTATGACGACTGCCGGCACCGCTATCTCTACTGTAGAAATAAGACTTGCCATGTGATTGGTGTCGAATTTTTTTACAGGACCGCCTCGTCCTACCTGTTGTCCCAATTGTGACATTACGGCTGACAGAGAAAAAACCGCCGTTCCCGCACCCGGGCTGTGTGCCTCTCCGAATGCCCTGGGGGAACAATCGCAGAACCACTGTAGCTCCTGCACCAGAATATCAGTATGTTGATGCCTGCCACAGAAACCCTGCCACCCTGGCTGTGACAGCTCTCGACCCTGAGAAGGACTCTTGACCCTGAGAAGGGGGTTACAAGAATGCGGGCTTGATCCCACCCACAGGACCAAAGGACCCCCTTGATCAATTTAAGTTTGGAATTTTTTTCTCCTTGATGACTGCCACCCAGGGCTAAGGAGTTCAATCTATCCCAAAACGTTCAACTTACCCCAAAAATTTAGTAGTGCTCAAGACAGAAGATGCGCTGCCCTGACACAAATCACTGAACACAAATCTTTGAAGGCAGAGCAGGAATGCAGCTTACCGTCATATTTCGACAGAAGGTTCAAAAGTCCGTAATCTGGTTAAATTCAAAATATACCCTGTTTGAGGATAGAAACGGTGCAACCCGGGAACATCGCAAGTGAACTATCAGAGCAACCAGTTGGTAATTAAATCCTTCCTTGATAAACCTTTTCATTACTAAATTCCTCTAGTTATCTTATAAGTCTGCGAGCTCATCTTTGAGTATTTAATAAAGCCCTTATATATAATGCTATTTAACTAATACTCAATCCTTGTTGTATTCCGAGATAAGACGTATTGGGCTGAACCTACAGTAGCCTCAAGGCGTTTGTAAAAGCTTGTTTTTTAATAAGATGCTGATGTAGATATGAAACACATTTCAGCTCAATTCTTTTCTCAATTAGGAAAAAAGATTGATTTTTCTGTAGTGCGGCAGAATACTTGGTTTTTGATAATAAAAATGTGCGTATCAAAGCCCACTGCAACTGCTTTTCTAAGGATATCATTAAAGTTGCATTAATCTGCTCCAAAAACTTTGCTGCATAACGTAAATGAGTTAAAACTAAACAGGGAAGCAAAGCAATCAAAGACAATGTGAGAAGTTGTTGTCCAATAGTGTCTGTCGTTTTAACTTCTCGTGCATTTTTCTGCAATTTTTTTGCGATTGAAATGAAAAAAACAATCAAGAATCAGACATCAAAACTGGCAATCATTTATTATGAATCGGTCAGTTTCCACATTCTGCTCATCATTTTTTTGACAAATGTTATAAGTTCTGATTTTGATGACTTGAAATTAAACAAAAAATTAGTGAGTTCGAGAAAAGAATTTTCTAACTGATTCAGCGCATCATTTGAAGTTCAGGATGACTCAGGTATCATATCGTCTGCATATTGCACCAAAGTTCATCTATAAGGAATTCGTTTTTATTTATCGTTGATATATAAACTGAACAACAATGAGCCTAGTGCTTAAGGCAGATTTCAGTCAGAAGAAACTCCATTCACATTTACCTTTTGAAGGCGTTTATTGAGGAAATTTTTAGTTATTGCATTTGCATCCATGTAAAATCCCACACAGTGTAATTTTTTTCAAACATATTAAGTGAGATAGTGTCAAAACCCTTTGATAGATTCAATGAAATTACATGAACAAATTTTTTAGAATCCATTTTTTTCGGATACTCTCTGTAACTTAAATTAACACATGTTGTGTTGAGAATTTTTGCAAAATCCAAACTGAAATGGAGTCATTCTTTGATGTTTGTTCAATGGCTCTCTTATTTGAGCATGAAGAAGTTTTTCAAATTTTGGAAATTCCACATGTTATGGGAATAGGGTCATAATTTTTTGGATCAAGTGGGTCATATTTTTTGAATCAAGGGTGTCACATTTGCTTTCTTTAATTCAGATGGAAGAACTATCTCAACTATGCAGTCATTAATGACAAAAGTAAGGAGGGTCAAGAACTTGATTGGCTGTCAATGATTGCCCAAGCTGGTACGGTAGAAGGTCACAAATGTTGTTTTTGACATTTAATTTTTCGAAGCATATCATAGCGTTGCTTCTTCGTAATGTGGTTAAAATGAAACGGTGGAAGTTCAGGCTTAACTGGAATAAATAATTGAGACTTAACAGAGTCAAAAAAACTGTATTAAGTTGTAACTAAATTGTTGATATGATTTGAAATTTTAACATCCTGAGCTAAAATTTCATTGAATGAGTTATTAAATGCCGTAATTCTGCTACTGCTTGATAAACAACCACCAACCTGGATGACAAATTTATTATTTTGCTGAATTGTGTTCAGTAGTGAGTTCACATTAAGTGAATGCTTTTTTTGTTTATCTTTAATTAGGCCGGAAAAAACGATGGTTTTGCCAATGATTTTCTGTGTTTTGATTTCGATAAGCTAAAAATGATCCTTGCTTACTTTTTCAATTTTTCTCCGCTTACTGAAAAAAACTGTTAATAAAAGAAAACTTGATTCGTGAGCCGTCTGCGCATTGGTATAACTAAAAATAAAAAAGAGCAGAAAGAGATATACAAAAATCTGATTAAGGGTAATTATCTTTGTTGAACGATTGAATAATTTTTTGGCGAGATCTTTCCACATTTAAAATTTGACACATAGCCACTAATGCGGTGATATGAGTCTTTGCCGAATCACCGACTTGCGTCTCATTACTGGGACGGAAAATTTTTAACCCATAAGGAGTAATGATAGATTTCTTTTTGTCTTTATCTGATTTGCTCAAGTAGCTTATGTTGTAACCAGCCATGAGAGTTATCTTGTTTAAAACAGAAAAAGCATTGTCAAAGTTGAGTGTTAATTTATGTAAAAAATCAATGAAATTATTTTCTTTTGGATTATAACACAAAATAGTGATCATTTTTTCTCGAAACGCAACGGTAAAATTCGAATGGCTTTCAACC